TATCGTCTCTGAATTATCCCAAAAATTTATTATCTCCTCCTGTTTTATTGTGACCGAGGCAAAACTTGCAATAAAACAATTTATAGCAAAACTGCTTGCCACATATCACAAACAAAACCCTAGTCTTATCTCTGAGACAATATGTATTTTGTCTTTGTTTAAAACATTTTTGTTGAAACATAATCCTTGAAACGTCTAAATCCCATCACGTATCCCACATTATTGTTGCTTGATTTTTATTTTGTGAATAAATCCGTTCGTGTTCACTAACTTTTTTACCGGATGCAAAATGCGTTTTCCATTAAACGGGATTTTTGCATGTTTTGTATAGTATAAAGTATGTGGAACATGCTGATGACCGTGTTTATATATTCCACAATCCCTAAAATTGAGGTTTTATGTTGAAACTTCAGAGAGAACAGTTGCGGTTGAAAAATTTCCCTGATGACACTCCAGCTTCCAGTCGAGTCAATAATATTCGTGGAATGTTTGCCGCTATTCACAAATTTTAATCTTGAATAATGCGAAGGCTTAAATTTAACGACACTTGACAATATTTATTACAGACAAAAAGATAATTTACTCATAAGCTGTTTTATTCAATTTCATGAAAACAAGAAACAAACTTTTTAAATAACTTTATTCATTTTGTCACTTCTATCGCATCTTTTGTATATGAGATAATACTCATCTGATTAGGTTTCTGTATGCATGTATCAGACTATAAATCGCCACGTGTTAATCTCAGAAATAAAGGCTCACCAATGGAAAATCTGTTAGGTGATATAATGACGTTTTAATTAAATCTAGTAAGCCATGTTTACCGGTTGGCCCAATTATAAGGGACAAAGAGGAAATTCAAGGAAGACGTGCTGACATCCTGTATGCAGAATGCAAATTGTGCATTATTGAGAAGGCATTCACCGAAATAAATCATTTGAGAATCGAACCTTAAATATCTCAATTTTGGTCTACAATTGTTCCAAAGAAAAAAATAAATACTTTTTATTTTAGTTTGGTGAATTATAAGCACTTTGATTTAGTTTGGGATAGATAGGTGTTGGTGTATGCATACCAAGTAAGGGGTTCTGATGAGTTTTGAACGGTTTTTTAGAAAGTGTAATCAAACTGTCAGTATTTTAATACACCTCTTTCACTAGTTCTAAAATATATTTTATTATCATATGTACATACTATAAAAATTTGTAACATTTTTATTTTATTTAAATGTAAATAGAATATGCTTTGCTCTAATAAAGCATTCATATGCATGAAAAATCGCTACACTATGTTTTATTTAAGAAATAATCATGCCAAGTGTTTTATATGCATCTAAAACATCGGATAAAATTTTCACATTTTTACTTAAATGTTTCCCAGAAAGGAAATAAATATTTTGAGTGCATTTGTTATACAAGTAAGTCGTAGAATAAAATCGTAAGACACATACGAAAATATTTCTAAACAATTCGTTGTTATGCAAGTAAGTCGTAGAATAAAGTCGTAAGACACATACGAAAATATTTCTAAACAATTCGTTGAAACGTCAGTTTCTTTATGTGATTTCCTAATCTCTACATTGATGTCAATTTAATTTCAATACTAATAAACTCAATCACTTTAATGTAATAATTCGTAATTCTCAATTCTCAATTCTTAATTCTTTATTCTCTCTTCTATATTCTCTATTTGAGAGGTAAGTATGACTGTTCCCGACGTGAAAAAAATGAAACGTCGTAGGGTGAAATTAATTGTACATAAAGCCAAACTTGAATTTTTAATTTGACAAAAATCAAATTTACTTTCTTGAAAGTTCTTTGAAGTTAATATTTTTAATCAAAAAAAATGTTAATCTGGACAAAAGAACAAAAATGTATTACTTTGATGGAATAGCCAATAATCAATATTAAAAAATAAACCCAAAAAACTAGCCAAGTTCTGAATATTCTTTTAAATAACTCGTAAGATCCTTGTAACTCACTTTTCGTAAAAGCTTCTTTACTTGTGATGCATTTCCTTTCCTTTGTGTATTTTTTCATCCTACTGCTTTATTGTATACGTCATATTTTTATTAAGGCTCAAATAAAAGAATCGAGAGCTCTTCAATTACTCGAGATATGGATAGTCCACATCGATTTTTAATCAGAAACCTCATTTTCTCCAATGAAATTGACCCGGCACTCCTTTTCCGAAGAAAACTGTTCTATTAACACAAGCACCTGATTTTATTACCCCATTAAAACCTTCATCTAATCCTCCAAATTCATAAATAATCCCTTTTCTAACAAATTACGAAACACGTGTGACAGGGAATGAGTCCCTCGACGAACAGACTATAAAACAAATTGAAACGTTTCGCAATATTTTACATTTGGTTAGTGGGAAAAATGACGGAATCTTCTAACCCTCAGGGAATTACCGGAAAAAATACCATATTTTTGGTCCAATAGTTGTGATTTAAATTTGCATTTTGAAGGGTGATATCGAAACCCAAATGAAAATTTTCTCTCCCGATCGAAGTTAATAACTTTTGGGATTAGATATTGAGGGATGTTTTTTTCCCCGTGTAAATTAAGAATTTCTAAGGTTTTAGGTGGGTAAAAGTTGGCTTTGTTTATTAAAATTGAATTAATAAAAAGTCTATAATTTTTTATTTTAAGACTGCATAATTTTATTAGAAAATAATGTTTCATCCGACATATTCCGGTGCAATATTTCACAGCCGCATTAAAATTTTTATGTGGTGGAGCCGCTGAGCTAAAATATGCTCATTTTTATGCTTTTACATACTTTGTTTAATATTAGCACCCATTTTTCTTCCAATATTCATGAAAATTAATTGTTGAAAATGTATGAAACAATTTATTTCTTCCGTGAAAGACTCTTAAAAGCTAACCGCATTAATTAATTAATTTCGAAATTGTTCTTTTGTATTTAGAAAACAATAACTGCGTAAAGCAATATGAATACTTATTCTCAAAATATAATTTTCACAGGACGAAATTTAATTGCTTTGAACTTACGTCGAGCGTAAAATTTATTTAAGCGCGATTCATTACGAAGTGATCTATAGAAAATTTCGCCCGAAATTGTCGTGTGTCGTGATAAAAAGATGAGAATTCCGGAACTAATCCGATTATAAAATTTGAAATTCAGCTCGGATGCATCTTTCTCTAATTTCGTGCTTAAATCAATTAAAACTACAATCAAATGGCCCGGTCTTAGACGTATACTAGAAATTGAATGAAATTCGGAAGAGAAGACAAAGAGTAATCGAGTACTCGTCTCTTGGAATAATTCAAAAAATTAAATACAACATTTTACGACTGTAAATTTATTAGCAAAATTTGAGAAATAAATTTTAAAAAATTCAACCCAAAAGTTATCCCAGGGTCTCCAGTATTAAAGTCTTCTGTGTTCCTTAAGTATTTGAGTTTCAAATCTGTTAAATTTAATATTATTAGGCTTAAAAATATATTTTACACAAGAAGCATATTTGTAAAAAATGTAAACAAAATTTTTATGAAATTAAAAATGTGAAATTTCTTAAGTTAATTTGCAGATTGATGCAAAAAACACATCTGTTGAAAAATGCTGTGGACATGATACAAGTGCGTTGCTACATACAGGTAAAGAACCTAACGTTTTTTGCTTAAACTATTTATATTTTGGAAAAACTAATTGACGAATGATAAAGTATTATAAAAATGTGATGTTTAATTAAGAATAACTTTTTCGAAATTTACTTTTGTTTTTCAGTTCTCCAATTTTTTAATTTTTTTTTAATGACAACCCACAATAAAACCATTTTTCTCATGAAGGTTATGATCTAAGGATTACAACTATCTACATTACATATTTAATTTTTTCAAAAATTTTTTTTTTACATAAATTGCAATTCTCACAAAAACAATCGCATAACTCAAAGATAACTCATATTAATTACTTTTTGGAGGGAAATGATTAAAAAAACGCTTAGTTCCATACTTTATATTTAGCCTGTATAATAATATTTTATTACAAATGTTTTTTATGTTTTTTGTATTATTTTAGTAAACTTAATACCAAGCTAACTTTCTTTGTTTATCACTTAAAGGCTTGTATTTAAAACAATTGCAGTTCAATTGTTTTTTAGGGTGTCCTAAAGGAAACTTTTACAACTTTATATTTAATTTTTTCAAAAAAATTGCATAACTCAAAAACAAAACAAAATTTACTTCTCAAAATACGATCACACTTTTTATATTACTTTAATTTATTGTGATTATCATTTTCTGGAGGCAAATGATTAAAAAAAAACGTTTGGTTCCATACTTTATATTCACACTACCCCAAATTAAAATCATTTGATTTTGAGTGTGCGCAGATATTAATTTAATTTAATCTAATTTGATTTTGAAATGTACAGTATTTGAAAACAGATATAATTTGCCAAAATGTAAAGTTTAAATAAAAAAATCATACATTTTTTAAAATATATTATTATAAACTGCAGTGTGCTAAACACAAACGTCCCAATGCTGAAAATAATATTTTATTATCACATATAAAAACAACAGTTGCCTAGAGTATTTTAAAACAGAGATATTATTTTTGTGTTTCTTGTAATATTTTTACAAAATAAAAAAGTGCACAGTATCCACGTTAATAAACCCCCTATTTGCACACTCTGTTTTGATATTTAAACTTATAAAAGTGCAGAGTTCAGTATAATTAAAAAGCATTATTAATAACGCAGGTAAAGTAAACATTAAAACACTCGTCTATTGTTTATTGAGCTTCTCTTCTCTCTGTTTGCAATTTATTAATAATATTAATATAAAAAATTTCGTTGTTCTTATTCTTGTTTTAAATTTATTTCAAAACAGGTGTTTTTAATACCAAGGAACCTTATCATTCTAAATTTTTATTTTGGAGTTCTTCAAGCAGAAACCTGAAACGGTTTCTCGTCGACTTGAAAATAATGTTTGAGGGTAAATAATTATTTAGCAATTTTTCAGCGTTGCAGCAACATAAATGGATTACTCAGGTAATTAATGTTTGTTGTTCGCACAACAATGGCCTTCTACAGTATTTATGACATGTCGATTTCCAGTGGAAACTTTCGAACAAATTGTAGTCGTCAACTATAAATAATAATCTCTTTATTTACTAACCCAACAATAATAAATAAACGTAACACGATCCTAATGCTCGATTTAATTACGTTATTGTAAACATAAATTCATTCATCAAGACAGTCGAAATTTAAACCAACTGCGACAATTTGTCTTCCTTAAAACCTAATTAGTGTTTAAGCCCATCTTAAGCTTTAATTAGGCAAAAAAAAGTTATGATTAGGACGATTTATGCCCGCTAAAAATACACGTTTGATGAGCTTTTTCGCGCTTTGATGGGGCTGCCGATAATTAACGCAATCTGTGAGGGTGTTTGATGGTGGTTTTTCAATATTTTTCTAGAGCTTCAGCAACTAATGAGTTTTCCATCTGTTTGTGGAATGTCGCACAGCTTAATTCACGAAATTACACTTTGAAAAAAGCTTTTTGTAATAAGTGAAGCTACAATTAGGTATTAACGATAGTAACCATCAGTTTAATTAATTCGGTTAGAAAGACGATTGCGTCACAAGCAAACTAAGCAAACTAAATTAATTATTCGGGAGGTGAATCTTTGCTAAGTCAAGAGAGACATCATACTAGAAGTGTCGTATAATGGATTGGTTTAAATCGTGATTGGAGTCGAGAATTATTATTATTAGACTCATACGCACTCCTGAGACAAACTTCCTGACAGTTCGAGTCCTTCCATTGTCTCCGTTATTAACCGAAAATTAATTAGATAATTTGATCCAACCACGATTTGACCCGACACTGACACGAAAATGGACTCTTGAATGGAATGGTGACAAAATTTCTGCAAATAAAGATTTGGAATGCTATTTCTGGTGAAAGTTACACTAATAAATAATTAAAAAAATAATAAAGTGTTTGAGAACAATTTGCAACAATTTCAAAATCACATTATAATTTTTTAATATAAAATATAGAAAAAAGATATTTACATAATTTGAACGAAATAGAAAAAATAAATATAAATTTTATGGAAATATACATTGAAATTAGAAATTATGAGTTTTCAAAGTTTTATAAATATAATTCAAGCTACTTGAATTTTATTTTAATTATTTAATTATTTTTATTTTAATATGTTTTTCAAACAGTTGTAGAGTTTATTTTTACACAAATCTTTTAGTTTAAAGTCTTCTTAACTTCAAATTCAGTTTTATTGGGATTTATTAATTTACCTATGTAATATTTAAACTTTGAGGGTGCCAGATTCTTATGTTTGACATTATTTGAGTTGGTTATGGTTTTTACGTATAATTATGTTTATTATAAATTTTTAGCTTTTCATATTAAATAAATCAAAAGTTTGCATGTAAATTGTAAATTTGAGTTTTACAGAATTTTTATTCTAAGTTTCAGTATAGCCGAAATTTAAATTTACTTAAATATTTTTCAAATTGTTTTTAATTATTTAATGATTAATCACCACATCAATAAGAATTTTATAATGAAACTTTTAATTACGTTAGGTTTTCTACGTTCTAGAGTATTAATTCATTTGAGATATTGTTATTGTTTTTAAATGATCAAATTATGTTTCATTTTATTTTTTTAATTTTTTAACTTCTTCATGTATTGTGTATTCAAGATTTCCAAATTCCATTCACATTTTCTATACAATCAATTTTTTCAATATTGTAAAACCACTTTCATTAGCATATTTCAGGTTACAAAAGCAATTTTGTAAAGGTTCTTCAAGTTTAATGTTCTGACTTTCAATTAAAACCTTGTTTTCACTTTTCAAATTTCTTTCAAGCTTTAGAATTTCGAGATTTTTATGATATTTTTTTTAGTTTTATTTGTTTGACAAGATTGTAAACTCAATTTATTTTAGTTTTCTATGCTTTTCAAGGTCTAATTTCTTATTTTTTTTAAGTTTCTTATTTTTGTAATTTACTTAAATTGTTTAGAATCAACTAAGTTGATTTAGTCTTTCAAGTGTGAGAGTCAAGAATTTCACCTTTTAATTTAAGTAAAAAGACAAAAAAATGTACGTGTTGGAAAGCAAATTCCCACTGTAGCAGAGTCTACTTGCAAACACATTTTAATTAAAATAAAACGAAGCAAAACAACAAAAAGAATCTCCACCCACTCTATGCAAAAGTTTTTGTTAGAAATACGAGTATTCATAATATTATCAAAAACTAAAAATAATATTCTTTTGCAAAACCTCGGTAAAAATGTAAAAATCGTCTTCCTTTTCTTTACAAGAGAAGTACTACAGTTTTTTCCTAATACATTTTTAGAAATAAATGTTCTCCGGACTAAATCAATAGTAAGTAAAAACAAGTCGTACACGACCCTTGTCGTGGTAAAAGACAAGAAAAGGGTTTTAGACAACCTGTCATAATCTGCATAACTCGACGCAAATTTGCAAGCAAAAAAGCTTCTTGAGGAGATTAGATGTGTTTTAATTTGAAATTTTAAACCAGCGTAAGCCTTCCCTAAGCTAATAATTGATAAATAATGGGCAAAAACTCAAAAATCAATTTTACCAAAATACAATTTAATCAGATACTTTATTATATCGGAAACTGAATTGTCAATTACGATATGAATAACTAGTGTAAATATTTACTCTCATCCATTTTACACAAATTAAAATATTATTGCTCATTTCAATTTTATTTCAGGCTTTTGCGTCATGGAACTTGATACCGTCTCCGACTAAAGGTGAGCGGTTTTGCTGTTAATTGCATTTTAAATAATTTATAACTTTGATCTCATGTTTGTATACTAAACAACTTACAAGTCTTTGGAGCTTTCGCAAGTAATTTATTTTAGAATTCCTGAAATTTTTTGCTAACTTACAACTAATCTACATATCAGAGTAAGAAGACATATGAATGTATACGTAATAAGTAGAAATTTTATTGCGGCCGACTTTGTGAATAGTAAATTATTAGGAATTATGGAGCTGTCTACAAGCACGGAAATAACACAAGTGAAAACACTTACTTCTCTAGGAAGTCAAATAGAAAAAGAATAAATTTACTTATATGGTGCTTTTCCGAATGTGCATGCTTGCAGTTGGAAGCTTTTAAATCTAAGGATAAAGAGATATGTAATCAGCAATAAAACATTGCTTTCCGGAGATTTAGTACAGACGTTGAGAAACGAGGATTAATATGTAGACACTAAAACTTAGCCGAGATAAGAAAACTCGGACACTGAAGAGGTCTTGAAATACTGAACACAGTTATTTTCAAGAAATGCAAAAATCTGAAAGAAATATGGGATTTTTTTGAATCGCATTTCCTTTTAAATTCCGTCACAGTTTTTGGACTTTTTTAAGTTGTTTAGTTTTTTTCTAAAACTAGTTTTTCAATTGAAAAAAAATTCAAGGCGTAGTATAACCGATTTCACTCAACTCGATTTCAGTTTTTTAAACTTCCATTTTCAGTTTCATCTAATTTTTTTATAATTCTATTTTTATTTTTGAGTTTCAAGTTTTCTAGATTGTACTAAATTTAGCATTTTTAATAAAACGCTTGAAATATAAATACGTTGCAACAGATTAAAATGCTCTACAATAAATAGATATTAAGTAATAAAATCAAGATTAGGGCTATAAGCAAATAGTCACTATATGTGATTATGAGCAAAAAATTATTTTTTGTGTCTTATCAAAAACTGGTGCTATATGTAAAATTACTCGTATAATTAGCCCTTTTCAAACCGTTTTGACCTGGGACTTATAGTTTTTGAGTTACGAGCTTTTTTTATGAAAAACTAAAAATGGCCCTGTACCCGAAAAAAAAAATTAAAAAAATTATTTTTAAATGCCGATTACGCAAAACTAGAGAAGATAGCGCAAAATGCTTAAAATATTCGTAATCAGTGCGTCAAATTCTATCATTTACGCTTGGTTTAAATAGAATCTGTTACATGTTATTTGTTATACGAAGGGTATTCAAAAATTTTCGCCCGTTTTAATTTTGTTAATTCTGGCTAAAGTATATTGAAAACGGTTTACGTTTTGTGCTTTATCTATGTAAAATGTTCCAAAAAATTGATTGGTGTCAAGAAAACTGCAAAATTCTTGATAGTTCACAAGTTATTGTTATTACTAATATCTTCGCAATTTTTCTCTTTACTAGCGGTTTTCTCAATAACTATTTGTAGCAGAACTATGATCTTTTTGTGTAAGATAAGAAATTAAAAGTGTTTTACAACAATAGTAAACATAAGACAGTTATCGAAAAAAATTATAAGTTATCGCCGATAATTAAAATAATTAAAATTTTTAAAAAGATTTTGCACACATTTTTTATTTCAAAGTCAAATAAAATCCTTCGTGATAATTTATTTACAGTTGAGAGTTCATAAATTCCACCGTGTTTCCTGATTTCCGCATCCGTCTTTCGTTTGTTTATTCCTACCTTTCGTCACTGATTAAATTGTTTAAAAAAAGGAATTTCGTCAATATTTAACTTGCAAGTCTTCTTTTCCATTGAAATTCCACTCTGCGATCGATTTCACTCCCTATTAACGAGCCTCAAAAAAACTTAACGGCAATCCTGATCCAAGTCGACATAAAAAGCACTAAAACCTGCCTCATACAATGTACAAATGCAATTCAAAGGGTGAAGTGGTTTTATTTCTGTATAAAACGAAATTGTTGCTTTTGTGTATGAGTCGTGTCTCATTCAAATCGACCATTTTAAAAGCTTTCCACCGTTAGAGCTATTCAAAGATCTCCAATTGCATCCTATTACGCCACTGACACTTTAGTTGACGATTTGGACACTCGGTAGTGAGGCACGACTCATTTTTGGCGCTTTTTTCGCACTCCAGGGAGACATGATCCTTGAGGAAACTTCCTATCGGATTTCTCCTAAGTGAAACCCTCCAAAAGTGGCGATGTTTGAATTTTTTTAAATCAGACAAACTTACACTTAACTAATTTTACTGTTCTAGTGAGAAATATATAAATGTTGACAGCGTTAAATACAAAATTAAGCGTTCAAGTTTCGATGGCAAACTTTTATTACCAAGCTTTCCTTCAGACTTGCATTCTGCAGTGTATTACGCCCACAGAGGCTTGAACACAACTCATCTAATAACATTAAACATCCACTACATGAAATAAGTCCATTTGGCCTTATTTTAATCATATGTTGGTCTATAAATCCCTTACTTTATCGCGTCATGCATGCACTCAAACTGAATAACATCCTTGAGAACGCTTCAACTTTATAGCTTACAACTTGCAAGTACGTGATTTTGGCACCAGTCATATCCAAAAGCCGGTTTTAATTTACCCTTTGACAAACGACAAATTAACAAGACAATTTTTGTTGTGCTATTGGAAGTCTCCGTTATTTCTATTAAGAAAGCTTTTAGTAAAATTTTCTTTTGATCCTGCTTCTATATTAACATCAGCAAGAGCATCCATATAATTTTAGCTTAATTACCAGTTCTGTTTCGATGTTGTGATATCACACTGATTGATTCTCATCCCGAGTGCTATTGTGAAACGCAAGCGAAATAAATAACACGATGAACAAGCAAAAATTTTCAGAAAATTAAATACAGTTTTGTGTTAGAACGCGTCAGTTGTGCTTTTATCTCGGCGTTTGTGACTAATCTTTGCACAAATATTAATTTAATTTTAATGAATGTAATTAACACTGTTAAGAATTGAGAAAACTTATTACACTTTTTTTCAGACAACCATTTTTGTGATTTTTTCACAAATTTGTAGAAAAATAAGTGTTTAAATAGCGTGACGTGTGATTATCAATTTATATTTCTGTCAAAAGACATTTTCTACTTCATGGTCAAACTGACAACGGTCACATTATTTGTTCAGGTTAGTTGCATTCTGTTTTATTATACAGGTTGCGCCAGAACTCGCGCCTCAGAGAAAAATGCCATATAAGGTAAGATACCAGAAACATGGAAAAAATGTTAAACAATTTTTATCTATCTATAAAAATTTCAAAGTTATGAATGTTTAAATTTTGCACTTTGACTCTATTTATTTCTGTTGGAAAAATAATTTTCCAAGTTTTTTTTGCTACAGGCTATTAGAAGAAGAAAACAAAGAAGCGGTATCCTAAATTGTAACTCTGTTTAATGTTATTTCTGGCTTTTATTGGCAAAAGTTTTGTACCTTTACTAAATAATTATAAAAAAAAATACAAGATCATCAGTATCATTAAATAGACATAAAAAAATGTCAAATGTCAAAATTTTTTGACAGACAGAATTATTTAAACATTTTTTCCATGTTCCTGGTATCTTATCTTACTTGAAATTTTTCTCTGGGGTGCGAGTTCTGGCGCAGCCTGTATAGTACTAGTTTTTCATAAGAACCTGTGTGTTTAAAAGAATAAAAAAATAAAAACCAGTAATTTTGAATCATATAATACACTCACCGGCAAAATTATTGCATCACATGTGAAAAGTGATTTTTTACTGAAATAACGCTTAAAAAAATAAATGCATCAAAAATTAATTAATTAACTAATTAACGTTAAGTTAAACTACAATTATGACTTAAACTTCAACAATTAAACTACAATTTAATGATTGTCAAAAGAAACAAAAAAGCGAATTCCGTGCGGATTAGTTTTTTAGCAACCATTAATACCATGTATTGCCTTCTCAAGCCTGGAAAGAAGCTCAGTTTTTCTTTGTTGTCTCTCGGAAATTAGCGGTGATTTTGTATAATTTGACATTTATTTAGTAAACAATGAATCTACACTAATTGTTTTTGAAAAATCCGTAGTCGACTGACTTACTTGATAATGCTACTATCCTGTAACATCAATTTTAGTAGGAACTATTTTGGAACGATTTATGTATTATAAATCTTAAAATTTAAGTGATGCGATAATTATGCTGGTCACAATTTCGTGTAAATATAAATATCATTAAATTGACATTAAAAAATGTCAAAAATAAATGTCAAAATTTTTTGAATTTTCTCCATGTATAATATACCATGTGAATAAAAAGTATGGAACCAAACGTTTTTTGCTTAAGCTATTTATTTTTTTAGAAAATCTAAATAATAAATAATAAAGTACTACAAAAAGTGATATTTTATCACAAATAATTTTTTTTGAAATTTTCTTTGGTTTTTGAGTTCTGCAATTTTTTTTATTTTTTTAAATAGCAACCACATTTTTCTCAAAAAGTTATACTCTAAGGGTCACAACTATCTGCTTTATGTTTAATTTTTTCAAATTTTTTTTTTACATAAATTACAATTTTGACAAAGAAATTGCATAACTCAAACACAAAACAAAATTTCGTTCTCAAAATACGATCATATTTTTTATATTACTTTAATTTATATTAATTATTATTTTCTGGAGGCAAATAACTAAAAATAAAAAACTGTCTGGTTCCATACTTTATATTCACCCTGTATACTATAATTTATATCTGCTCTTTTACCTTGCTCAGTCAATTTGAGCTGTTTTTTAGATTTGTATATCATTTCGAGTAAAAGTTTTTCGATTAGAAAATAATTTTCCAACTTTTCAATCTTCAAGTTACTTAAAAACGCAAACGTCATAAAAATGAAACTATTATTACGGCTTTTCTGGTTTCAAGTTTGATTACATTCATTGAATTTTTATGTTTTCTAACTTAAAGCTTAAAGTTTATTACCTTTAAAACATAATTAAAATTTGTGAATATTTCCAAGTTTTCAGTAT